TGTTGTTGTTGTTGTTGTTGTTGTTGTTGTTGTTGTTGTTGTTGTTGTTGTTGTTGTTGTTGTTGTTGTTGTTGTTGTTGTTGTTGTTGTTGTTGTTGTTGTTGTTGTTGTTGTTGTTGTTGTTGTTGTTGTTGTTGTTGTTGTTGTTGTTGTTGTTGTTGTTGTTGTTGTTGTTGTTGTTGTTGTTGTTGTTGTTGTTGTTGTTGTTGTTGTTGTTGTTGTTGTTCAAAAGAAGTTACCTGTTGTTGTTGTTGTTGTTGTTGTTGTTGTTGTATTGGTGTGGAATGAATTATGGACGAATCAGGCATAACGTTTGATCGTTCCTTTTTTATTTGTTTGTTCCATGGAAGACGCTGGGGAGTAATTTGTGTTGGAATTGCGTCGTCGTCGTCGTCGTCGTCGTCGTCCTCCACGTTCAGCAATTTGTTTCAACGGTTCGATAATAGATTTTAATTATTTCTCCAGAACAATCTCATTCTCCATTATGCCAGTCTTCAATGCTCGGTATTTCTTACGAATCGACGCGCGTGTCTTCGCAATCAATTTCGCTGTTTTCTCCCGTTCAGAGATACTTTTCATTCTGATCATCTTATCGTAACGTCAAAGAAGTATTGCTCACTTTTTTTCACAAAACACTACAGATGATTTTTTTACACTACAGCAAAATCGTTGAATCTTCGTCTGTATCTACCGTTGCGTAATGCGCTATCTTTGTCTATTACCACAAAATCGTATTTGTGTTGCCAACATAAATAGCACAACATGCAAAAATTCTCATACGATATATCAGTGTTCACGTGATCGTTATAAATGTGTTTTAAATTAGTACCGTCTTGTTTGAATAGTATCAAAAAATTTGCATTATCGCGTATTAAATGTTTCGGTATTTTTGCATACGTCTGTCAGAGATAAAAACAATCAATGTTCGTATGTCGACCCGATAGAAAAATATTCTCTAATAGTATTCTGATTATCACAAGCCACATCATCGAATACGAATATTGAATTGGGAAGTGCCTCCTTCGGTGGTATGACGTCACGATTGTTGGAAAATGTGTGGTAGCCGATACCATTTATCGATTCGAGTAGTTCTTCCAAATATTGATATTTCGGTTGAAAGAGAGATTTCGAATATACGTACACGTTTTTGAAACGTACACTATGTGAACTTTCTATCAAAGCGTTTGTTTTACCACAGTTTGACGGTCCACAAATGATGTAACGAATTGTATTCGAAAGGGCCGTGTCTACGAATCTCTCCAACCGTTTCATCGGACATGAGTCGCGTCTTGCGGTCGAGATTCGACACTCCTATCACTCGTGATTGTCGTACGAATCGCATTTACTTGTATAACGCGCGTGCGCGATGTAACGCGAGCGAGTTTTTCGGCACTATTTATATCTCCGAGCAGGCACTCGATTCGCACAGTTTACTGTAAAGAGCAGTCGTTGTTGTTGTCACAAAAAATGTTTTTTTTACTAACGGATAAACATCGGATTCTCGATTTTACCGCCGAGCAATTGCAATACATACCGAAAATTGTTCTTCTACAGGAATTTGAGAATTACGTGGAGCTACTGTGGGATCGATTACCCGAACATTTAAAAACGGAAGTGCAACGTTATCGTCCGTATATAGAACAATACAATCGTTCGTGGTAACGAACACACACAGATGGTCCGTCACTACTTATCAAAAATTGCGATATATGTCGTATGAGATAAGATAGCGTGGAGGGGAGAATGATTCCTGCGTATGGAGCAGGTTTACTTGACAAGACAATAAACGCGCTTCCGTTTGAAGTATATATACCTGATTATCAATTTTGTGAACTCGGTACTCGTCTCGCGAAAAGATTAACACGTGGTGATCGAGATATAAATCGATTAGACGCGGCGTGTTGCGAACATGATATCGCCTATTCGCGAAGCAACGATCTCGCCGATCGTCACATTGCCGATCGAGTTCTCGCCGAAAGAGCACGCGAACGTATAACAGCGAGTAATTCGACGTTTGGTGAGAAAGCTGCCGCAACCGCTGTATGGGCAGCCATGAAAGCAAAAACGAAATTAGGGGTAGGTATGAAAAAAAGGAAAAAAATGAAAACGAAGAGACTACTTCCGGTAACGAAATGTGGAGATTTCTTACCGATTTTATCAATGTTAAGTGCGCTCGGATCTTTGATCGGTGGAACGGCAAGCGTAGCGAGAGCTGTAAGCGATCGCAAAGCCGCTCGACGTCAGACGGAAGATCGCGGACTGTATCTAGCGCCCTACAAATGTGGTGGTAACGTGAGGAAAAGAAAGGCAAGAGGTAAAAAAAAACATCGTGGAAGGAAACGTTAGAGACTCTTAAAATACCGTTCTCCGGTATCACAATGAACGAACAGTTGAGCCGTGCGGCGTATCGTTTGCGTTTACCATTCTTCAGAGGGGGGTTTATGCGTGACGCGTTACCGACGAAACCGTAATGAAAGCGGTATCGTAAATCTCGATAATTCGAAAAATGCGGGCACACACTGGATTGCTTATGCGAAAAAAGGAAATAATGC